ACGACCGTGTGACCCCTGGCAGTTCCCGGTATCTGTACCACTGTGACATCCAATCTCAGTGATCACATGATCGGCAGCCTGGCGTCCTCTGCCCCTTACTATTCCCCTTAAAGGGAAAGCTGGTGGTTTTTCAGCCTCCAGAATCTCTTCCAGTGTTACGCTTTCAGCGGCTTTATTCAGATACACGGAGTCCTGGCCGCTATAGCCGGCTTCTGTGGGCTTCAGCACTGCTTGAAGCTTGTTCAGTACCTGCTGGCAGCTTGTTTTGAAGTGACGACGGTATACCAAGTGAGGACCGCAGTCCTAGAAAGTATGCACCACACCCGAGCAGTCAAATGCACAGAGAGAGGGCTATAAAGGAGCTGAGACGATTACAATGTATCGTATGTAACGGTTATCAGGTAACATCCGCATGTACATCGCCGTGATTCTGAGCGATCGCAATGCACCGCAGGCAGCTATCGCAGGTTCAGAAGCAGTCTCTGGATTGTGTTGCTGCACGTGGGGGGCAAGCCGCTGGTCCACTAGAGGGATGCATGGGTAAGGGATGTCCCGATAACACTTTTTTTAAGACCAAATACTTCCCTCCGGTACTCGCCGATACCAATTACCTAAATGTTTTCTAAAACATTACAGACTGATGATTTCAGGGCAACTTCTTTATCATTATGAAGAACTGTAACTCAACCCATGATTGTTCACCAATGGAGACTGGCAACCGGCTATAGAGGACTACAAATCTCAGCGATCCATTAATATACAGCAATGGAGAATGGCAATTGGCTATAGAGGACTACAAATCTCAGCGATCCATGATTATTCAGCAGTGGAGAATGGCAACCGGCTATAGAGGACTACAAATCTCAGCGATCCATGATTATTCAGCAGTGGAGAATGGCAACCGGCTATAGAGGACTACAAATCTCAGCAATCCATTAATATACAGCAATGGAGAATGGCAATTGGCTATAGAGGACTACAAATCTCAGCGATCCATGATTATTCAGCAGTGGAGAATGGCAACCGGCTATAGAGGACTACAAATCTCAGCGATCCATGATTATTCAGCAGTGGAGAATGGCAACCGGCTATAGAGGACTACAAATCTCAGCGATCCATGATTATTCAGCAGTGGAGAATGGCAACCGGCTATAGAGATAGATGAAAACAAAGCGCTAAGGGTGAAGATGTGCAAAAAAGTGAAAGCGATCCAAACCTATTATGTGTATTTCAAACAAGGCTGAGATTCAATACAACCCAATATAATATAATACAATCAATACGGATAAACTCATATAAAAGTCTTATAAAACCATCGAAAAAAACATCAAAAAATGTTCTAAATGTAGAAAGTTCGGTGAACAGTAAACAAGCAAAAATAACGGTGTGTGTGAAGGTGGTCCGGTCTGCCCCTCTCGGGTGGGTACTCACCAAAAGGGAAGTTGATAAGGAGCCATTAGTGAGTAGTAGCGTAACTGGACTTGGGCACAGATATATCTTCTACGGGTCCCGGCAGACAAACACTTGGAATTCTCCTCTATGACGCTGGCTGTGTCTCAGGAATGAGGAATCCGATCCTTTCAGCCACGATACCAAAAAAGTGCTTTGCCGTTATCCCACGGAGTTTTAAGGGCAAACAAAAGAGAGAACCTTATTGTACAGGTCAAACAATCATCTGTTTTATATCTTTTCATTCATTTGCAACACAGCATGAAGTATCTGAATCTAGTAACACGGCGAGAACAGGACTCTGGGCTCCCCAATCGCTGAGTTCCTGATCTTCTCCCTGCAGAGAGCAGTGCATGTCAGTCACCTGGTGACAGGGGCCACGTGCATGCCCCCTGGTGACTGACATGCACTGCTCTCTGCAGGGAGATCTGAAAATTCTCGGGCGGCCTCAAAAAGCATCTTGGGGCGGGCGCATGCGCAGTTCGGGTTTTCGGCCGGGAGACGAGCAGAGACGCAAGGTAAGCCTATGGACGCGTGCACCCGCCTGACCGTTTTACGGATGCACGCAATTTGTAACCTGGGCATGTTGGGTATCGTTTTACTCGTTGTAACCTCATCTTTTATATTTCATTTAAAAAATGGGTATTTTGTTGTGTTTTGGGGCATTTAATTAAATTGTTCACTAAATATTGGGGTTTAATAAGGAGTTGCGCTAATATTGCGCAACATAAAAATTTGCAACTACCATCGTTTTATTCTATAGGGTCTTGGCATTCAGAAAAGATATAATGTTGGGGGGTTTTAAGTAATTTTCCGGCCTAAAATGTGGAATATAACATGGGTACAAAAAATTAAAAAAAGGCCTCAGTCATGAAGGGGTTAAGAGACATCATGTAAGGTAAGTGCTGACATTAACATGGGGGGGAGGGAAAAAAATGTTTGACTTTTAATGTCACTTTAAAGGAGAACTATGGTGTCCAGTGCTTTTCCCCCATAGTTCTCCTAAGGGTCACGGGAGGACATAAACTAGCGTCCTCATGTGACCCAAAGCTCTCTATATACTGAGACGCCGCAGCCGGGTCGGATCCCGACATCGATGTCGAAATCAGCCCAGCTGCGTGATTGACAGCTGGCTCTGCCTATCTAGAGGCAGAGCCAGCTGTACCCGCCCCATCCGTTCCGCCAGTCACCTCTGGAGGATCGGAGGGGGGAATCCTTGCAGGGAGCCGTGAGTGACAATCACGGCTCTCTACAGGCACAGGATCGAGAAGTGAGCGAGCGGCGGAATGTGTTTTCTCACTTCCCGATCTATTGAGCCGACCTGTGACAGTTTAATTGTCACACGCCGGCTCGAACTATGAGGAGGAGTGATTTTCGCTCACCTCATAATTCTCCTTTTTAACCTTTTGTATAAGTGTCACTGGAAAGCACGGACATCCTCCAAGTTGATGACCTGAACCTCCTTTTATTTGTCACAGATTCGTCACCGTTCATGCAGAAGTTTGGTAATGGAACCGGTGCCTGTCTGTACCTGAGGAAGAGGTGAGCCCAACGTTAACCTTGTCGTTGTTGTGAATATGTTTTAAATGAAACCGTTTTGTGCCCGGAGTTCAGCTTTATCAAAGTAGAAACTAGCAGATAAACGTCTAGTCTTCCGCTCCAAGCTGCCACCCCCCCGGGATGGACTACAATCTCAATACAAATGAGTGAACTAAACATGAGATTGTAGTCCATCCCGTAAATGACGCTGCTACTCATTTTGTAGGTCCTGCGATAATTGTGCAAATGTTTATCAAATCCATTTTTTTAAAATTTAAAGTGACATTAAACCCTCAGATTTTTTAACATAAAACAATACTGTAATGTGCGCCTTACTGTAATCCATGGTTGTTTCCCTTTTCTTTGCTGCTCTTCCTTTTAAATCCTCATGTCTTCTCATGCTTGGGGAGAACTTCCCTTTGCAGCTGAGTGCCTCTTCCTGTAGTGCTGGCTCAGGTTGTGAACCTGCACACAGACACCGTGTATCCATTTCAGAGACAAGGCAGTCTGCTGCAAAACAGAAGTTCTCCCCCAGCATGAGAACAGATACGGATTTAAAAGGAAGAGCAGCAAAGAGAAGGGAAACTACCATGGATTACAGTAAGGCGCACATTACAGTATTGTTTTGTTAAAAAATCTTAGGGTTTAATGTCACTTTAACTTTTTGGGGGACTTCAGGGACATATCAGGGCTAAACAGACACCACCCCCCTCCCCGTCGATATTTTCCCGTTTGAAATGGAAAAAGAGATAGAGGACACGGAGTCCTCAATCTCTTATTCTGCAGCCCCAACACTGATTGAATGGAGAGCACAGAGTACAGAGGCTTCCCATTCATTCACAATCTGGAGATAATAAATATTTAAAGGAGAACTATGAGGGGGGTGCTTTTCACTCGCCTCATAGTTCGAGCCGACGTGTGACAATGAAACTCTCAGGTCAGCTCAATAGATCGGGAAGTGAGCGAACACATACCGGCGTTCGCTCACTTCTCGATCTATTCGTGCAGAGATTCCCCTCTCCGATCCTCGAGCGCTGACTGGCGGAACGGACGGGGGAGGGGGCTGGCACAGCTGGCTCTGCCTCTCATTGTTGGGATCCGCTGCGGCGGTCTCGGTATACCGCGAGCTGTAGCTCCCTATATACTGAGCCTAGTGTGACGGGAGGATGCTAGTTTGTGTCCCCCAGTGACCCTAAGGAGAACTATGGGGAAAAGCCCTGACCCCATAGTTCTCTTTTTAATATCAACCAGTTATGAATGCATAGAAGCTTCTATGTGAGCCGCTTCTGCCCATTCCGGAGGGATTTTTATAGCTGTCATCGGTGGCTTTTCAGCGGTTATTA